TGTCGTATCTTGTCAATCTCCCAGGTCCCAAATGTCCTTGGGGTTGCTGGAAAGCAGAATGTGTTCTTAAGCCCCAGGAATCTGCAAGTGTGTTGTCTCTTTAAGTATCCAAAATAGTCAAGCCGCTTTTTAAACCTTCAAAATGGCAGTGGCCTCCAGACCGGCATAATGTACAGTTCAGCCCACCTTTCTCTTCACCTTCTCCGTTTGTTCCCCAGCCACTGTGCACAGTCCTCCATGCAGTCCCTGGCTAGCAGGGTGATTTTTAGGTTACTTCTTAGGTCCTACCACCACTCGGGAATCTCCAAGCTGTCTGTGCCATCAGGATCACTCAGGATCGCTGCCAGACCACAGCTCCATATGTCTCCTTTTTTTGGTATTTTCATGCAAATTCTTCTTCTAGTTGGGGTTTAGTCCACTTCTATATCCTTCCCTTCAAAGCTCAGGGGTCCAAGATTATCTTCTGTGTCTATGTTAATTGGTTTCCCTTTTCTTTGATGAAGAGCGTCTGTGCAGTCTTTCTGCCTAGTTTGCCCTCTTTCCCTAACCTCTCTGGCTGATGTTATTAACTTTCTTGTCATAGTCTATGAGCAGGGACTCCCCTATTGTGGTGAAAAATGGCTAGAAAGCTTCCACGTGGCAAAGGAAAATGAACCTGTAATTTCAATACTCTTTGTGTAATCAGTAGTTGCTTATGTGATGTGCGTCAACCTGGGCACAGGTGGCAGAGCTGTGGACACATTACTTTTTATCTTATTGAACACTTCCTGGGTCAAAAATAACCAAATCAGGGAAATGTGGGTTAGATGCAACGGGGAAAAAAAACCAAGGATGGTTCTTGACCATCCTTGGGATCAAACATTTGAGGAGTTGCTGGAGAAGGCTTCTATTCATAAGAATCTCTTAAGAATCAAGCAGCCAGCTATTTGGATGGTTGATACTTAACAGCCTGAAGATAGGATTGCTTAGTTTCCTTTCAGCTCCAAGACTAAGCCAGCTGTTTTCATCCACATAAACATTTTAATCAGACTTGTCATCAGAGTTGTCAGGTACCTCCTTTGACATCTGTGCATCCTGGAAGTATTGTATTAAATCATCTGTGGTTCAAGTCAGTGTGATGCAGAATACTGATCATTATGCCTCTTGTATCATACTAGGAGTCTGGGTTGCCCCTGGCACACAGCATTCCCCAATAGTAGACTCTGAGGTATGTGGGCTCCCCCTCCCCAGCCCTAGGACCTGCATGCCTCAAGGAGAAGGAACCAGCAGTATTTCTGAGTCTGCTGGGCAGTGTGGATGGCCTGCAGCTCCCTGGGTGGGGCAAGTGGCTGAGAATACAACTTTTGACTCAGATGGCCAGTGGCAGGGGTGGAGAAGTATAAGGAGCAGGGAGAGCTTACATTTTTTCTTTTTTTTTTTTTTTGGTTGATGAGGTTGAGAGACAGGAGGCCTTAGATGAAGAGATGAGGTTCAGTTTAGGGTTTTTGTTGATTTTTTATTTTCCTTTTTTTTTTCCCCCACTACTTTTTTCCCTCAGGAGTCCCAGGATGACACAAAGTGTTAAGCAATTACTAACTGAAAGGTTGATGGTTCAGACCCATTCAGGGACACATCAGAAGACAGGCCTGATGATATGCTTCTGGACACCCACAGCCTTGAAAAACTCTATGGAGGAGTTCCACATTGTACACATGGAGTTACCTTGAGTTGGAATCTACTTGATGGCAACTAACAGCAATATTTTTTTACCATACTTTGCTTTTTAATTCTTATTTTTATCATTCCATTTGCAAAGTTAAATTCTTTTCTTTTAGCTACCATTTCTACTGAGTGCTCCTGTTGCCTAGGTCAGGACCCTAGGTGGAAACCAGTGGTATGCTCCAAAGGGGCATTTGAAGAGCATTTAATACAGGAACAATTGATCAGGACTGAGAGAAGCCACAAGGGTGGTGATGCTTCAGTGGGAAGCCAAGGGGTGAGAATCTTTCCAGAGCAGTGCAGTCCATAGCCTGGGAAAAGGGACAGGAAAAGGTGCAGTACCCAGACAGCACCAGGGCAGGCATGCAGTCCAGTAATTGATTTCTTGACCTCTTGCTCCTCTTGATCTCCAGTCTCTTCCTGATGCCCCTTCTTGGCCAAACAAACAAGAAGCTAGGGGGCAGATGAGCCTGGATGATGCTGTTTGTAAGAGATTGGCCCACAGGCCACAGAGCAGGGCAGAGGAGGTAGATAGTGAATCTGGAGGGGTGAACAGAGCATACCCAGGACATGTAGAAGATGAAAGAGTGAGGTGGACAGCAGGGAGGGAGCTAGCCTGAGGTTATAGAAAACACTCTTGTTCCTGTTGACTGATAATCAAGTGGAATTTGCTTTCTTCCTTCTTTCTCCTGTCGTTGGGCCCTTTTGAACAACTCTGTATCTGTTGGAGGGGAGTAGGGTAAATCAACATCAGATTGGACTTTTCAGTGCCTCCTTAGAAACTACAGAGCAAGGCTGGATTTTGAACCATGCCTTCCTGCCACCTGGGGATTTTTTCAAGTCACCCTGGACCCTTGCTTCCCTAGGCAGGTGGCTTAACTCCATTTACTGTGGAAAGCACTTACCTCCAGTATGGAAAAAGGACCTCAGCTTTCCTGTGGTGACAGGGAGAGATATTTCTCCCCTTGGTGTCCAGGACTGGCCATTTTGCGTGGTTCTTGCTTTTATGTTCCTGCAGACTTATCTGTGTGTTAGGGAAGAAGGTGTGTTCCTGTTGTGAACCCTAACTGGTGCAACTAGAAGCTCCAAAGATTTCTTGGTTTTCCCTCTCTGTGAAAATCTTCACTTGGTCTCTGTAACAGTCAGTTCACGTAAAACGAAGACTGGGTGTTGAATTTGGCTATAAGTTGCAGTCAGACGCCCCCAAGCCACAGAACATCTTTGCATGGTCTTCATTCCTTCCTCTAAGAACAGTCAAAAATAATGCCCTCTCCACCCTTTTCATCTTGCATGGAGATGAATTTTCTCCAGATTCCCAAAAACCTCTCTGTGTACTTTCCCCTTACCCTGTCTGCCTATAATCCACCCTCAACACACACACAGTCACCTCAAACACTCACACCTTCTTCTCAGAAATCTCTGGAGCTTTCTTTTTTTTTTTTTTTAATTTCAGCAAACATGAGCTTTGTGATGATTAAAGAACTTTCGTGAAGTCTTCAGAGGGTTCTCAGAATCTAATGGTAACCAAAGGAGTGAGTGTATGTGTAAGTTTATACGCAAGTTTGTACACACAAATGGAAAATGGAGAAACACTACCTTTCTTCAAAACTAATAACAGCAATTAGAGAACTATTTTAGGAGAAGGGTTATGCAGTAAGCAAATAGATGTTTTCTCTTTCCCCTACCATGACTGCCTGCCACACCTCAAAGTGAGCTCACCATACACAGAAGGGGTCTGGGGAAATAAAGCTGTGTAACCAAAATGCTGATCAGTGTGCAGCCTGGAAGAGAAGAAAGTTGCTTTTCTGGCATATATAGTTTTCAGAGCCCTGGGGAGCTGCCTGCTCTGTGCTGGGTTTAGTAACGACCCATTCATAATTCATTTAATGATTATAAAAAGGAAAAAAAAATCGCTGAAGGTCAGGAGTTCTTGCTGGCCCTTTTCCTCTGATGAGTCATGTGATTAAATATAAATCTGCAACTGATTATATGTTAAATGCAAGTGGAATATAGGCCCATTTTCTTTCTGAACATGAAAGAGAGAGCAGGCAATTTTGTTTAATATGGCCTCAGAGAAAGAAGGATAGAACATACTTCTTCGGCAGGGATAATTGGGTTAGGGAACAGGCAGGCAGCAAAGGGCTTTATGCCATTTTATTTCATCTCCATCTGCTCCATTCCCTACCCCCATGTGTCGGACTTGTCCATTTTGCTTGAGTGGTTTCAGATGGGGCTTTGAACATTTTATAGCCACAAAGAGCCAGTAAGTACATGAAGTTGGGCGTGAGGGATCAGAGGCACTACAGCCGGGCCAGCTTCTCCATACTAAGCTAGTGAGCATCACTGTGTTCCAATAAAATTTTATTTACAAAATAAGATGGCAGACTGGATTTGGCTGAGTTTGTCAACTCCTGATCTAGAGTTTTGTGTAGAGTTCTTGGAATCATATTGTTTCCTACATTCTTCATTTCAATTAACTACAGACATAAAAGCTAATTCATAATTAAACTTGTAATACAATTGGAGAGAGGTATGCAGCAGATTCCTAAAATGTTCCCAAAAGGCTCCCAAAGCTTTAGCTTGAAGAAATGAAACTCCGACCACTCCTTTGGATCTTATTTTTGTAATGTTGTTTCACATTATTTTATTGTCTTCTCATTGAAAAAATCATATAACCTTGTTTTTAAGAAGTTGAAATAGTCAAGAACAGATATTGACAGCCTGGAGAAGAGCCAATAGGCTGTATCATTGCAACGAGACCTGAGAAATTATTATTTTTTTTTAGAAGAGGAATAACCTGGGGAAAAGAAGATTGTGTACCTACATGAGAACTAACTTTAATGCCTAAAAAATTGTATGTTTTTCCTTTTTTTCTCACTGGAGCAGAAGTTACATCAATAGGTTTAAGGTTAAAAGTAGGTAAATTTTGAGTCAGTGAGGAAAAGAGCATTTTAGCAGTTAGAACTATCCATTGGGGAAAAAAGAATTCTTTGAAAAAGAATGGGTGCTGTACCACTAGACCAAAGAGTCCTCTCTACCCATGAGAGTTTGACCTGGGGACCATTCCTGAATAGTGGCTATATGTCAGAGCCTATGCACAGGGCTTTTTGCATGTTGTCACTTATCCCTCCCCACAACACTAGTGTAGATATTGTTGCTAGTATTTGTAGTTGAGGAAATTCATGTTCAGAAATGTAAAGTCAGTTAGCCAAGGCCTCACAGCTAGCAAAAGGCAGAGGCTGGATTTGTGCTCATGCTGACTTCCTTGAAAACCTCTGACTTTTCCTCCAATCTTCTGGTAGGTGCTACATGAACCCCTGATTGATGAAGACCCAGTATTCATTGCCACATGTACAGAGCGGGAGCTGCGGAAGAGGAAAAAGCGGAAATTCAGTCTCTGGGTCCGGCAGTGCTCCTCGACGGGCTTCATCATCCAGGTGAGCCTAGGCCAGGCAGAGCCAGGGACCTCGACCCACATAGGAACAGATGGACTTGTGACTTACCCTTCTTACTGTGCAGCAGGCTCTCCTAGTGTTCCAGCTGAGTCTGAGGCTGTGCTGTGCCCCATCATTCCATGGCCCAGAGGGGCCCCCACCATGACCAGCACTGTCACCTGGATATTCTTCCTCCCCACTGAGCCCCTTGATTAATAGCAGCCATAAGCACTGACCAAGGCACTGGCCTGGCCATATCAACTCTCTGGGGTTGTTGCCTGTCAGCCAAAGACCTCACCCAAACCAGTGGATTGTAACACAGACCTTGACCTCTCTGATAGCATTGCAGTATGACTGCCCCAGAAGTCACCTCACTTTTCAGGTCTCCTCTCCACCTCCCACTCCTAAGGATGCCTTCTTTATGCTGCCCACCAAAGCCAAGTAGTTAAGTCAGATCCTTTCACAAGAACACATGCCAAGTCCATGGCCTTTAAGCAGCATTGCCACCTGCTCACCAGTTTTGCCCTGTTCAGAACAGAGCAAACATTTGGTGTGTGTTTTAGAAGAGGTCATGGAGTTCTGCCACAGAGCTTTGTTTTATGGGAGGGGCTAGTTGCAGAGTACACAAGGAGAGCGATGGGGATCTGGGCTGCATCTTCTACTGCACTGCTTAATGATGCCTTCTTCTGCCATCTGGGAGGTGGAGGACTTGGTGATTGCAACCATTCCATGCTTACTACCCTCAAAGGGTTGCATCCCAGGGTGCAAGGCACAGAGTTTTGCATTGTATCCTTTTCCTGAGGTACTAAGTCCTGAGAGCTAGGCAAGGAGTTATGGGAGTATTCAGCTGAGCATCTCTTCATCACATCTGCTTTTAAACTACAGTAAAGAAAATGCACATGCTCCAGGTAACTCTCAGAAATACTATTTCCCCTGCCTCAGTTATCTAGTACTGCTATAACAAGAATACCACAAGTGGATGGTTTTAATGAACAGAAATTTATTCTCTCACAGCATAGAAGCCTGGAAGTCCAAATTCAGGGTGCCAGCTCTAAGGGAAGGTTTTCCCTCTTTTCCAATTTTGGGGGAAGGGTTTTATCCCCTATCAGCATTTGTGGGCCCAGTGTTCCTTGGAGATCTCCATGTGTCCTGGCATCAATCTTCCCCTAGGTCTAGAAGCTTCTCAGTACAGAGACTCTGAATACAAAGGATGTGCTCTATTCATGGCTCTTCTTTCTTGATGGTATTGAAGTCCACCATCTCTCTGCTCATTTTTCTAATCTCTGTTATATCTTAAAAGAAATTTACTCAAGATACAACCTAATCCTATAGATTGTATCCTGCCTTATTAACATAATTGCCTCTAATCTTGCCTTACTAATATCATAGAAGTTAAGATTTACAACACATAAGATAATTATATCACATCACAAAATGGAATAATTACTGAGAATCATGGCCTTGCCAAGTTGACACATATTTTTGAAGGACACAATTCAGTTCATAACACCACCTCCTCCTGTAGCTCTGGGAGACTTCCAGGCTGGGATGAGATAAGATCTGCAGCCTGACCCTGGGTTTGAATCTGCTCGAGCATAGATGTGTGTTTCCTGTGTCCCTAAGCCAGAGTGGACCTATCCCAGATCAAGACTCACTCCTGAAGGTGCTACCTCTATCCCTGCCCATGCTCCAATGATTCTGCCATCTCTGGAATACCCTCTTACAGTGATACACTCATAGGGTTGAGAGTGCATCAGATTCATTCTATATTGCACCCTACCCCCAAGGTACCATGCACTCATTCTTTCAATAAATATTTAGTATGTACCTGGTATCTACCAAGCAGTGTGATGATATTGTTGTTAGATGCTGTTGAGTTGGTTCCAACTCATAAAGACCCTGTGTAAAACAGAGCAAAACACTGCCTGGTCCTGCATCATCCTCACAATCTTTACTATACTTGAGCCCATTGTTGCAGCCACTGTGTCAATTCATCTTATTGAAAGTCTTCTCCTTTTTTGCTGATCTTGTCCCTGTCACACCTCCAGTGCTTGTCCTGTTTGGGAAGGGAATCTGAAAGGGGGAGCTTGCCAAGATCCTCTCCTCTTCCTTCATCTGCAGGTTCTCCTATGAGCTGAGTTCGAGGAAAAGGAGAGATTTATAGTGAAGATGAAACCTCCTGTTTCAAGGAAATGATCTGATCATGTCCCAGAAAGCCTGATCAGGACCTAGTCCCTGACATTGAGGTTGCACATCATAGAGGCCTAGTGATCTTTCTCTGGAGTGAAAAGGAGACAGTTTCTATAAGGACTATTGTTTAGTCTCTACAACGTCAAAAAGACTGAACCCAGGGTCCCAATGAGTTACTGGCAGATGGGAGAGCCCAAGGGTGGCAGGAGGAACAGAGACCTGCGACAACCTTGAGTACAGCTTTGAATAAAGGAGGCACTTTGCCTGAAGAAGATAGGAAGAGACATGGTCTTCAGGGGATTGAATAACTCATGTAGAGGAGGCATAGACTTCTCTATGTAGCAAAACAGTTATAAATGACAAGCTATGGTTTTCCTGCTTGGCAGAGGCAGAGCTTTTAGTTCAGTATTAGAATTACCCTACTTTAGAGGCATTTGGGGGTTAGAAGCCAGAAGTCATGATGGAAACTCCCAAGCAAATTAAATACTCCCTCCCCACATGCACATCACAGGTGTCCTGACAGGCCTTAGTGGATATGTGTGAGCTGTGCTGTGAATGAGATCCCCCACACTCTGTGCCACAGGACTAGCTGTCCTGAAAACCCTTCTCATGCCTCAAATAAAATTTGAATGTTTGTAATAGCTTCTTCTGGGGTTCAGAAAAGGATAGTCAGCATATGGGAAGTGCTTGCTGTGTGTGCTAGGCACCATGCTTAAACAATTATATGCATTATTTAATTTATTATTACTACCCTGTTTCACAATTAGGAAAGTGAGGCACAGGGAGGTGAACTAACTTACCCAAGTCACAGCTGTAAAGTGGTAGACCTCTGATGATGCCCAGCCATCCTGACCCCACACCCCACTCTCTTAACTACTGGGTTCTGTCATCTCCCTGAGGAGAGAACTTTTCCCAGCTAGACAGAAACCAAGTGTCTCTTTCCAACACCTTGACCCATGTTCCCTTATTATATAATGGGATAGTTGGTAGGGCAGAGTACCAGAATCAGTTGTCACTAATCTCCCTTATTTTGAGACATCATTTTTATTTTGAAAGAACTTGAAGAAATTGCACTGAAGTTATTTTTCTTTAACTTTAAATTTTTTGTGATAAAAAATAAATACAAAAAAATTGTTGTTGTTATTGTTGTTATGTGCCGTCGAGTCGGCCCCGACTCATAGCGACCCCTCCTTGGGTTTCCGAGGCAGTATCACTACGGAAGTAGGATTGCCCAACCTTCCTTCCGAGGAGTGGCTGGTGGGTTTGAACCGCCAGCCATCTGGTTAGCAGGCAAGTGTCTTAGCCACTATGCTACCAGAGCTCAGTTCAATAATTTTTATATGACATTGATTGCATTCCTGATGTTGTACTATCCTTTTCTAAATGATTCCACCTCTATTAACAGAAACTCAATGCCCTCTAAGCAATGCCACCCTTTTCCTCCCTCCCTTCCACTTCTGGTAACCACTAATAAGCTTTGATCTCTAAACATTTGCCTGTTCCAGATATTTCATAAGTAGGATCATACAATATTTATCCTTTTGTAACTGACTGACTTCACTCAGAATGATATTTTCAGGGTTCATCCATGCTGTAGCATGCATCAGAATTTTATTTTTCTTTATAGAGTTAAAATCAACTTGATGGCAGGGGGTTTGGTTTGGTTTGGGGTTATGGATAAATAATATTTCATTGTGTATATGTACCACATTTTGATTACCCATTCATCTGTTGATTGACATTTAGGTTCTTTCCCCCTCTTGACTATTATGACTATGGTTGCAGTGAACATTGGTATAGAGATTACTGTGTGCATTTTTTTCTTTTTTAAAAAATATGTATTTTTTTGTTATTATTGAGAATACAAACAGCAAAAAAAAAAAAAAAAAACACCAATTTGTTTCTACATATATATTTCAGTGACATTGATTACATTATTTGAATAACCATCTTCACCCTCCTTTTCTGAGTTTTTCCCCTCCCATTTACATAAACTCACTGTTTCCTAAGTTTCCTATCTACTCTTTTCAGTTGCTGTTGTCGGTTTGATCCCCTATTGATAGATCTTAAAAGAGAATAATGCTCAAGGCAGACATTCTTTACTAGTTACTATTGTTTGATTCTAAGGAGACGTGAGGGGATATTTTTGTTTAAGTTTTAAAGTTTATTTTAGGGCAGTAGTTTGGAGGGGTTCATCAAGCCTCCATGGCTCCAGGAAGTCTAGAGTCTGTGAGAATTTGAAATTCTGTTCTACCTTTTACTTCTTTTGAATAGGATTCTGCTATACCATACCATCTTTGATCAAAATGTTCCGTAATAGTAGCCAGGCATCATCCAGTTCTTCTGGTCTCGTGGCAAAGGAGGCAATGTGTTCATGGAGACAATTAGCTACACATTCCCTTTCCTTCTCTTATTCCTGACTCATCTTCCTTTGTTGCTCCAGGTGAATCTGTTTGTGTTTCTGATTTCACTTCTTCTGGGTATACCTAGGATTGGGATTGCTGAGTCATATAGTAGTTCTCTCTTTAACTTTTTGAGGAATTGCCATAATGTTTTCTAGAGTGATTGTACCATTTTACAATCCCACCAATAATGGATGAAGGTTCCAATTTCTCCATATCCTTACAACACCTGCTATTTTCTATTTTCTTTTTTTTTTAGTTGCATCCATTCTAGTGGAGGTGAAGAGGTATCTCATTGTGATTTTAATTTACATTACCCTAATGATTAAAGACATTGAACATCTTTTCATATGCCATTTGTTGTTGGCCCTTTGAATATCTTCTTTGGTGCACTGTTGGTTGAAATCCTTT